GTGTGTGTGTGTCGTATATATATGTATACATGTAATTATATAATATGTAGTCTAACCTGCCTTCACGGAAACTTGTGTAAGACGGAAACCTGTCTTTACGGAGCTCCCCACTCCCCCCTTGATAAATTTCTCTTTAATTACCTCTATAAAACGGAAACCTGTCTAACGCGGAAACGTAAAAAAATCCGCTCCCTCCCGAGGGTTTTACCTGTCTTTGCCTGCTCAGCCCTGATTTGAAACAAAACCCGCGAGTTTGGTTCTGCCGGCTCTGAACTTAACGCCAGGCCACCAGGCGAGAAACAGGAGTATGGGTGCAATTTGAGAGTACATAAGATAAGATAAGCACAGAGCAAAGTGAACATGTGGGCGTGAAATCTCACAAGTGCCCGTGAAAGTGTTGAAATAGTGCTCCAGCACGGATTCATTCATGGGTAGACAGAGGTGTGAAAATGAGTTTGACCAATGACTGCTGCCTTAATCGAACGGCCAGCCAAGAAAGGAGCTCTTCGAATCGTGGTTACCTTACATGCACGGGAGGGGTGGTATTGGTTGACTGTGATTATTACACGGATGGGTGGAGCCAAGGGTGAAAGCAAAGGAGATGTTCAAATGTTCAGTTATCAATAGGTCATACAATGGTCCAATGAAAGCGAGCACTAGTGGCAATGGATAAGTAGGACTGACGCTTGACATTATCAGAAAGGAATACATTTAATTTTACGAAGTGACTATATCTCCAAACGTTCGGAGAAATAGTGCCGATCTTTATTTCTCCAAACGGTTTCCGGCTTCCGGTCTCGTGATTTTTTTGCCTATTTATTGCGAGAGTTCGGCGCCAAATTTCATTCTGGAGGGTTCAAAGGTGAGACTGGAGAGAGGAGAGAGGGAAAGTGTCTAAAACGGAGAGGAGACTTACCGGCGAACCTGGCACTGTGGCGAATGAGCCGGACCAACAGGGAGCCTCAAGTGGAGGATTGGAAGGTGTGTGAGAGAGGGTGACCAAAGATAGATAACAAAGCTAAAACAGCTCCTGGACATGGGTGGCTGGTGTCACTATATATAAATTATTGATGGTCAAAGGTGGATAGAGAGGGAATGTCGTCAGGTAGTCCAACGGTGTGTCACCCTCTCTCAAACACCTTCCAATCCTCCACTTGAGGCTCCCTGTTGGTTAGGCTCATTCCCCACAGTGCCAGGTTCGCCTGTTAGTCCCCTCTCCGTTTTAGACACTTTCACTATCTCCTCTCTCACCTTAGAACCCTCCAATTGAGGGCCCTGCCCGCTCCTGCCCAACCCCCGCAAACACCCCCCCCCTCCCCAGGGATCTGTTATGTGATTATAACAACAGGCCCCCGCCTTCCGTCCCCCGGCCACCTATTACTTATGTACACAGCTATCACCACTGTG